GTTCAGGTCGACGCGGTCCACGAGACATTTCCCCTCGCTTCGGGTGGAAACAGGCTGAGATTTCATCCATAATTCTATTGACGTCATCAGAGACAGAACCTATTCTTGAAAAAATCACACGTTAAAACGAACTCCAAAAGAATATCCGATTCACTTACTTCTTATATTTTACTCATACCTAAAAATGAAAGTGAATTCGCATAGATAGATATAATAAGGTTTGGCTAAGTATTTCTTATAGCGGTGCTGCTACGTTTGTTCGCGTCAGTTTTGAGTGCGTGTGTGCGTGTCAACGTCTATATCCAATTCCGGTCTTAAATCAGAGTGATCAGAGGCTGGATATGATGGAATTATCTAAAACGTGTAGAGTTGCTCATAATTGTTCGTCTCCTGTTGCAAGGAAGATAAGAGAGGCTATTGTAATGATGAGAATAGGGCAGTGGTTTCCAAACTTTTCCTAAGTATGACTACTCGTAAGTAAGAGATAACAATAAATAAAACTCGTGTATCTTCATTATTTTTTTTTACTTGATTAACATTAAATTAATATAGTTAATAATTAAAATCCATGCACATTTTCTCAAATTGAAGCCACGGCGCACGGTTTTGGCATCACTGGATTAGGGAACACGTTGAATGTGAGGAATGGTGGTAGAAAGTTGTATAGAAACTGCTTATGCTCGATTGATAGATTGAAGGAGAGAGAGGGTGTTGAGCCGCCATCCAAAAGAAGACGCCTCAACTTTTTCGCTCAGTGATGCTCCTAACTTCACTTACACTCGTCCAACATGTTAGATTAAGCTCGTCATCATACATGCATGCCTATCCTTGGGTGATTAAACTTTAATGACCCTTGACTGAGATGTTAAGACAAGTGGTTTCGAAACCTAATTTCAACGCTGACTAGCTTACATTTCATTATTTTAACCTTACATGCCTATGGGCTAACGCAGTTTCTGTCAGGGTCTTTAAGACTTTATGACTAGAGCTTAACATATTTCTTTTGTTGACTCTCATTTAGGACCTGCATTGCGTGTACAAAACTCGCACGCACGTACGCACACACAATTGAGCACAAACAACATGAGTATAATTTGAGGGGTGAGGCCAGACATTGTTCTTTAACTGGTGTTAACATGTGACTTTTACAGGAATGATTGCCAGCTCTGATGAATTGCATCATATGATTGAGGTAGGCTCAGTCCGTTTTCACTATACGCCATTAATTATATCTCGTCGACTGCGTCAACTTGAACGTCGTATTTCAGCCAAACGGCTGCACTACAACTGGATTTATTCGTATTTTTCTGACGAAATCGACCTTAAATCTCTTCTCCATGCATTTTATACGAAATGAACTTCTCCCCAATAAACGAATCATGTAGGTTTTACTTAAGTAAAACAGTACAATGGGCACTAAATTTAATTTTAAATATTATCCCTGACATAATGAGAACATGGTACTTTTATTCCAAATTTGTTTTACATCTGTTGCCTCTCCCACTTTAAGAGGGAATTGTCAACCTTAATCTTAATGAGGCCTCGATAAAGTTTGTTTATTTCGTCTACCTTATTCTGGGGAGACTCGTTAATATGACAAAAAATAGCAAAATAAAAAAATGCTCATACAAGCCAGCTCTAGAATTCAGTAGTTGGTGAATAGTCGCAATATGTCACATGTCCAGTATTGTCCATTTGTTGAATTAAAGAAAGGTCATTAACTATAATGACCTAGGCTGGATAGTATAATGTTCTTATTACCTAATACTATATTTTTCGAATTACGTATTGTTTTCGTGACTACCAGTAAATCAGTGTAATGAGTTGTTTTCACCCAATTTCGTTTAAGGCGATGAAGGACTTGTAATAGAATTTTCCCACAATGCTATGAGTACAGTTGACGTTTCCAAGTAAAATTGATCCCAGACTGTCATACAGGCCAAGTACATTGTTGCACATTCAAGTCGGTAGCGTCAGATTTTCCCCATTTTGTTTCTATTGAAACGGAATATAACATGACTGATAAAGCGTCCCTACTCATCAAAATATTTTCTCTTTTATTATGTCATCACACGGTCTTTTCTCCTAGTGCCGAATTTCAGCAAATATTTCTTTGCATTCTATCAATTCTAATTACATAAAGCCATTTATGTTGCATTCATGCAAGAAACATGCCGAATTATGTAAATTTATTAACACA